ATTTCTTAATAAAATTATAAATTTTAATATAAAGAGAAAATTTCAATTTTCACTATATTTTATTAATAAATTTAGTCCTGATACATTACTTTTGGTTGCCACTGTATATATATATATATATATATAATATTTAAAATTTGATTTCTCAATAACTATCTTATTAAATTTTTTGCTATTATTTTAAACATTTTAATTTAGTAATTATTAATATAAAAAATTGATTTTAAAATTCTGCTCATTTAAATTTTGAAAATTTCAAGATAGTTAATCTTCAATCTAAAAAGTTATAGGTGCTGGATAATTTTGATTTTTACTGTAAATAATATTCAATTATTAAATAATATACTTATAAATTTATATATAAAATAGTATTTTATAAATTATAATTAATAATCTGAATTTATCAGAATTTTATTCATGAACTTTGCACATAAAATAAGTGTGATGTCAAGTTTAGCATCAAAATGCCAATAATAAACTATCTTTCTCTGTTTCTATTATACAGGTCTACAAAATTTTAGAAACTTTGACATGTTTGTACAAATCATAAATTTATATGAAATAATGATTCGAGTTATATTTTGTGCAATATCTCTTGAATTAACGTGTCATATTCTAAAATTTTGTAAACCTATAGAATAGAAACTGAGAAATATATTTTATTATTGCATTTAAACCTGACATCCCACTTATTTTACGCGAAATTACCGTCGGTAATTACCGAACCGTTACTACAAAGATTTACCGAATCGATCGGAACCCTAGTCATAACGAATCCGGCATTTTATCTGATAAGTCAAGTCATGCAAAAGTTTATATCATTATCAAAAATATTTTTAATTTTTTATTACGCTATGGTATTATTATATTTAATTTTAACTAGACTTCTTTAATAATTTTTTCCAGCTACTTAAGATAAAATTTTTCTTCAAAATTAAATTTTCCCCATGTTCTTTGAGTGATTTATCAGCTGTTTGTATTTTTCCTCTTGACATTTTCTCGACAATCCAACAATAGTATTGATAATTATGTAAAATCCTATTCCATGTGCAATTGAATACGTGAATGGTATAAGGACAATGGTTCTAAATTTTCAAAAAAAAATATTAGATTTATTAGATCAATAATTAAAAAAATTTTTCAACTTACAGAAAAAACGGCACCGGATCACCAATGTAATCCCAGTTGATACGTTGAAGACTCTTTGCCATCATCAATCCAATAATAATCAATAATAGACCTATAGCCCAAGGAAGAAAACTCGCAAAAATCGGAGCAAAAAACAAACTAATAAGGAAAACACTAAAGCAGTGATTCCTGTTTTTCCTCCTTCTGTGATACCAGCACAAGATTGGATAAACTGGATTGTAGGTGAGGTTCCAAATAATCCGCTAACTGAGACGCAAACTGAATCAACTATATATGCTTTGTTGGAACCTTCAAAGTTTCCTTCCTCGTCTGTTAATCCAGCAAGGTTTGCCAATGAAAACATTGCCGCAGTTGTGTTCAGAATATCTATGTATACCAATGTGATTAATCCAACCCAAGCATCTTTAGTTGTAAAATTAAAATTTATTGTTGCCATTGTTCTAGATAAAATCAATAATGGAATTCAATTTAGTGAAAATCGTTCAGTTTAATGGTCCAAAACTTAAAATACTCACAATTCAATAAGATGAAAATGAACAATCCTTTGAAAAAAGTCAAAATTTTTATTTCCTTGATTGTATCTGGAAAATAAATAAATGCTGTATTCCGAAACAATGATATAATCTTACAAGCAATATCCCAAATAATATGGATCCAGTAACATGAAACTGCATTAAAATTGAAATTTATTATCGTTATAATTTCTATAATTCCAAGCCATGTTGTTGCAGATTTCACATGATGTGAAATTCAAACGCCATTATTTAAATATTCGTCTGGACAGCCGCCAAGCGTCACTAAAGTCATTGAATCAAGAGATGCTAATCCAATACCAGCCTGTTTTTGCAAACCAACAAAAATAATAAATAGTCCAATTCCAGCACAGGTAGCAAATTTCCCACTTTTTCGGGATCAATTTACTAATGCATTGCCGAATTCCAATCAGAGTGAGTATTGTAAAAATTATCCCTTCTAGTACTACTATTCCGAGTGTTGTTTGATGACGTTGATTTGGAACCATGAAAACCGACGATCGAGTATGCAAAGTATGCGTTTATGCCCATGCTTTAAAATTAAAGAGAAAAGCGGGTTACTTCCATAAAAAACTTAAAAATCGTTCTTCACCACCCAGTAGCCAATCCAAAAGGCAAATTAGCGAATAAACCCATTAATCCACTCGCTAAGCAACTAGTTGCTGCTGTTGCAGTAATCATGTCTTTCTTGACAGTTGTAATACATGACGTATAATCAGGATAATTAAAACATAAAGTTTCAACGGAGATGTTGACATAAACAGGAAGTTTACAAACACAAGGACCTCCCGAATCTGCGACAAAAACAGCAATCACAGAAAGAATGAATGCCATTGTAACAAAAGTTAAAATTCCTGCTCGCAATTCTGTGGTGAACTTTGAATTTTGTCGTTGATTTATAGCACCAGAATTGTCTAGCTTCCAATTGATGATTTGCAATAGTTTGATTTATTTTTTCTAGTGACATTTTTTTTATTTGATTCACAAATTTAGTGAACATGCATTCAAAAAGTCACTGCCTTTTTATTTCAAGAAAATCAGAAATCCTATTGTAAAACGTTATTGATTCAAAGGGTTAGACTATTTAAAGTCAAAATTATATGTAAAATCAACATGTTTTATTAGCTTTCTGAGTTAATTTTGACAACGATTCCGTAGTTTTCGATTTTTTTTTTCATTATCTTGTTTTGCCGGTTCTATCGTTGTTGTCGGTTTGAAATTTTTTTGAAATGCTCAATAGTAAATGTGTTCTGCATGTAAAGAATCCATTTACCAAATACTTTTCACTTTAGGGGACAGATAATAATTTACTAAATACTAGGATATTTTTATACTTTATCCAAAAAAGGTTCTTTTAAATTTTTCTCTGGCGGTGATATTTTACCTCGCGAAACTGTTTCCAAAACCCAAACGAAGCCATTAATAAGAATGTAGGTACTTATACCGGCGATAGTTCCATATGATATATTCATAGAAAATGGAATAACGGCTATTGTCCTAAAGAAAAAAAATTAATTAAAAATAGAGATTAAATTATTTAGCATAAAAATTAAAGACAAGCATACAAGAAAGCAGGCACAGCATCTCCAGGATAAATCCAATTAATATCTTTCACGCTACTCGTCATCATAACGCCAAGTATTAAAAGCGCAGGACCCGTAGCCCAAGGTGGAAAACTCGCAAATAGTGGAGCAAAAAATAAACTTATGAAGAAACAAATTGAAGTAGCAAGCGCTGTTATCCCCGTTCGTCCACCTTCTGCTATTCCAACGCAGGATTCAATGTATACTGTTGTTGGTGAACTGCCAAAGATGGCACTTAACGATATAGAAATAGCGTCACAAAAAAATGCAAATTTTGATCCTTTGAAATCTCCATTCTGTTTATCTAGCCCGGCAAATTTCGATATATAATATAGACCAGCTGTCGTATCAAGAATATCGACACAAAGAAGTGTGGATAACGCAATCCATACATCCTTATTTTTATAATCGAAAACGATTGCACCTAATGTACTAAAAAACGGCTGATTAAAAGACAAAGCTTAACTAAACTAGAATATCGTATAAGATTTAAAGTTTAATTTACCTTTCAATTTTATGAAAAGATATTATATATTTAAAATATTCATATCGTATATTACCTTCCGGCGTATCCGGAAAATAAGTTATTGGTGAATTTCTAATCCACGAAATGATACTAACAAATAATATTCCAAATAAAATCGCTCCTTTAACTTGATACATTGCCATTATTTGTATAATGAAAAATCCCAGAATTCCAAGCCAAGTCGTTCCACTTTCAAGGTAATGACCATCACAAGAGCCATCACTATTATAGTATTTATCTGGACAACCGCCAAGTGTTAATAATGACTTCGGGTCATATGAGATTAAACCTATCCCCGATGATTTTTGAAAACTTGTGATTGTAAGAAAAAGTCCAATTCCAACTCCTATTGCCGCTCTTATGCTCATGGGTACAAGTTTTGCAAGCTTCTGCCGAATTCCTAGAAGTGATAGTATAAATAGCAAGATTCCTTCCATGAATACTACAGACAAAGCTGTTCCATATGTTAATTTTCCTGACCCATGTTTGCCAACCATCGTATATGCAAAATATGCATTAATCCCCATTCTAAGATTTTAAAAATATTTTAAATATTTTCTTTAGTACTTTAAAATATGTTTCTATAAGAATGATGCGATGGCGAATAAACATACCCTGGGGCTAATGCAAATGGTAGATTTGCAAGCAGGCCAAAAATTGCAGTGCATATACAAGAAATAGCGGCAGTAGCTGTTATCAAATCTTTCTTTACAATCATAACACATTTTGCATATTCTTCATCATTCATACATGGAAATGTGTCAGATTCTGTATATGTTTTGCATTCACACGGACCGCCTGAATCTGCTATTATTGTAGCATTTACTGATAAAATGTATGCCATTGTAATGAATGTTGCAACGCCTGCACGCAATTCTGTCGTAAATTTTGTATTTTCTCGAGATTTCTTTGCGCCAGAATTTTCTAGCTTAAAGTAACGCCCGAATTGTGAGCTAGCAACGCATTTATTCAATTTTGAAATCATTTTTTTTAGTCAAAAGGTGTAAATTTTTATATTTTAAATTTAAACAGTCTTTTAATTTTATAATTTTTTAACCTAATGGCGATAGAAATACATTTTCCAAATTAAGATAATCAAATTAACCACGTTGTTCCAGATTAATCACATTCTTTTGCGTGTAAAATCATCGGATTGGAAGATCACTTTATTATCATAAAGAGACTAAACTTCGGCGAAAATTCTTTTAATGAAAATTAAAAAACGTTACAAATTCTTTTACAATTAATTGAAAACCAATTAGAAAGAAACTTATCAAGAAAGAATTTTTCTCTTTCATTAATTTGTGGTTTATAATTGGTTTGTAATAAAAAATTTTTGCAAACTATTTATTTTTAAATTCAATTTCTTTTGGGAATAATGTTATACTACTGAATCATTGCACGATTTTGTTTAAATAACGTAAATTAAAATTCAAATCATCAAATATTGAAATCGAAAAAGTATTTTAAATTTATAGTTTTTATTTAAAGGTAAACATAAACAGTATCTCTTAAATAATAATGTTTAATTTTATATTTATGACACAAAATATATGAACTTAAATTTAAAAAAAATTTGAATTATGGTCCAGTGTAAAATGTTGGTACACAAAAAATAAAAAATTAATAATAAAAGTTTTGTAAAATATATTGATACTTATAATTTTTTAAAAATAAATAAAGTGTTTTAACACATTATGTTATGTTGTTTTAATATTTTTTTTATACTTTAATTTGATAATAAACAAAGCAAAATTGTTTCTTTTGAAAATTTTTAAAATTGAAAATTATTTTTGATACCTTTAAATGCGCATTATTGAGCTAGTTCCATAATGGAACTTATTGGTCTATTACACATACTTTAAATGCATGTGCATGATTGCATAGAGGAATTTTTTAGTTTATTAAATTTCTAAGTGCATAAACTCACGTAATTATAATATTTATAAATTTTACTGAACCGAATTTTTCAATAAAATTTTTGATCGACCAGGAAAACAAATACATGTACATGTAGAAAATATGGTTTTTTTTAATTATTAAACGCAGTCAATAATCATACACAAATTGTCACATAGCGGCAAAGCAAGTCCGACGCAAAATGGAAATTGTAAAATAATAGGAAACGAGTGTCTAAACTAAGTTAGAGCACTAATTATAAATGTCGGAATGTAATTTTACATATAATGGAATAGGTATTATATGATTTGTGTAGTTGATTGTTTAATCATATTATATCAACATGCTCAAATGCACAATATTTAAACTATAAATATATCATTTACAGTGATTAATATAAATAACCAGAATGTTAATCTGATGAACCAATTTCAGACTTGCCAACTTGAATTTTTTTTCATTCTTACTCTTTGCACAAGAATTATCTGTTTTCCAAACTTGAAGCACAAAGAATGGTAGTAAGTCAGCTTTGTGCAAATAATATTCAGAAACTTACTGAAATTGTATTTATAACAGGTTTATTCAAGTTTATAATATATGATTTAATCAATTAGCTTAAAATAATAACAAGTATCATGTTACTTTTCTGATCTGAAAGATTTTTATTCTTATAGTAGATAATATAGATCAATAATTTTACTATTAAATAGAGACTTAAATAAAAAGATGTTAACTTAAAAGTTTTTATTTGTATAATTAAATTCAAAAGTAATGCAATGCAAAATTAAAAATCATTAAATCATAATATATTTATAAGTAGCTAATAAAATTTAAATAAAATTAATAAATATGATATATTAATAGTACCAGTTTTATTTAATAAAATTTAATTTACTATTATT